ACTTACATTTTGTTAGCTACAATTTTCTTTTCTCACTATTTGATTTAGATTGATTTAGATAAAATTATCTCCCTGACACTATTATTTAATTTGTGAAACACTGAAATTTGAGTCATGGCTAATATAAAACTAAATGGTATAACTTCAGAAAATTGAATCTCAAATGCGACATTTCTATTGGTAAGTCCAATGGAAATATTACGGAAACATCCGAGTCATAAATAAGCATTGCCTTAAGTCCATCTTCGTACAGATAATCTTATATCAAATAAGAATTACTTAAATAAAAATTTCTCGACAAAGATCACCTTACATCGCGACTATGAATTATATCATTTTTGAGGTGATCTTAATTGAATAAGATAATCTTTAATAAGACAGTCTTAAGCATTATCTTGAGCTTCGACTATGAATACCGGCCTGAGACTTTAAAAATTTTGGCGACATCGGTGTAAAGTAGGGGGTACTACAGATTGATCTCTTCGGAAGAGGCGCTATATACAATTAAGATAGAACTTCACTTACAGGTAAGTTCGTTTAATCTTATAATAAATCACGAATTAAATAAAGTTGTTAATTATAATACTTTGCATTTAATTAAATTGTATGCGTCTAGTGCAATGACAAATACAAAAATAACTATGGTTAATAGTGTTGAAACGTCTAAAATTAACATTTCCCAAGATGAAGACGAAAATAGTGAGTTATCAGCACAATTGCTGTCAGATACTGAAAATGTACAGCATAACTCTGAATCGCAGGAAAGTTTTTCAATGACAGATAGCGAATGCAATAATGGTACAACTTTAAGAGAAGATTTACAACAATTCATAATTGAGCGTTGTATTGCACATAATATTTCAAACGAATTACTACGAATTTTGAGGAAATACGGTCACGTTGAATTGCCTACTGATGTTAGGGTTTTAGTTAAAACACCACGCAATACATCTACAACTTTTATTTCGCTGGGCAGTGGTAAATATATCCATTTTGGTCTTGCATCAGGTTTGAAACGATCAATAAAAATGTATTCAAATTTTATTAATGATAATAACGTTAAGATTAATATTAATGTTGATGGGTTGCCAATTTCAAAAAGTTCTGGTAGTCAATTCTGGCCAATAATGATTTCTATTCAAGATATTGATATATATACGTTGCCAGTTATAATTGGAGTTTATCACGGCATGTGCAAACCAAATAATTGCAATGATTTCTTACCAAACTTTGTCGATGAATTGGTATTACTTTCCAAAAATGGCATAATCGTTTCCAATAAAAAATATGCAGTTATTGTAAATGCAATAGTATGTGATGCTCCAGCAAAATCATTTATTACGTGTACAAAAGGTCATACGGAATACTTTGCATGTTCTAAATGCATTCAAGAAGATGATTTTGTGCGAAATAGAGTGATTTTTCTCGAAACAAATAACGCTTTACGTACAGATCAGTCATTTAGAAATCGGACTCAACCCGAACATCATAATGGTGATTCTATTTTAGAGAGACTTTCAATTGACATGGTATTGCAAATTGGGTTGGATTATATGCATCTTGTTTGTTTAGGTGTTATGAAACGAATGTTGCAATTATGGGTCAGAGAAAAAAAAGATGTCAGATTAGTAACAGGTGATGTTGATTCCGTTTCACATGATTTATTCGCAATAAAAAATTGCATTTTATCCGAATTTTCAAGAAAACCTAGATCTTTAAATGATGTAGACAGATGGAAGGCAACGGAATTCCGTCAATTTTTGTTATACACGGGTATAATTGTTATGAAATCTGTGCTATCTCCGTATTGTTACAATCACTTTATTACTCTTAGCATTGCTGTAAGGATATTGGCTGATCCTCAATTATGTATTTCATTCAATGATTATGCGAATTCATTGTTAATATCATGGTTTGTTTTTAATTATGGTAATATCTACGGTGATGAATATCTGTCTTATAATGTTCACAACTTGCTTCATATAGCCAAAGATGTACAAACCTTTGGTTGCTTAGATAATTTTAGTAGTTTCAAATACGAAAATTATATGCAGAAGATAAAACGAAAATTACACCAATCCGGAAAACCTTTAGAAGAGTTGTCTAATCGTATATTCGAAGAATCACAGCTTCCAATCCAACCGTTCCGCGTTATGCAATATCCAATCATTATTTTTAAAAATAACAGAATTTTGTATCTACAATTTCAAAATTTTAAAATTGGAATAAATGAAATTGATAATTGTGTTTTATTAGATAACAAGTCGGTGGCTTTTATTTTAGAAATATTTGAAGAGAATAATGTTTCATTTGTTCTTGCGCAGTGTTTTTTAAATCTAACTTCTTTTTTCACAACACCATGTCCTTCAGAAAGACTTGGCATATTTCAAATTTCAAAGAATACGACTTCAAATACTATTAAAATTCCAGTAACACGAATAACTAGAAAATGTTTAAAAGTTATAAACCTTTCTGAAGTAGGCTCTTACATCACAATTCCGCTTTTACTTACTGCAACAGAAAATACTGTTTAATTGCAAATACCATATCAAATAAGTTTTTGGTTTTATCGGTCTTTATTTTCATTATGCTTATATAGGTCATGGTCTTTATTTTTGTTATGCTTAAATAACATTAAAATTTGAATTTATA